TGGGCCATCTCAGTGTCCCGTGGCTGCAAACCCTGACTCATCGCGCCTCTCTGTCTGGGGCCAGGCTCACCCCCCAGACCGTCGCTTTTCACGTTCAGCCGGGGGCTGCATTGCGGGGGGCAGGCTGCTGGTCCCCATCACCCTCAGCCAGCCATAGGCCCCCTGTGCCCATCACCGGAGAGCGCTGCAGGGCAGAGGGTCAGTCTGCGGGGCCAGCTGCTCCCTGCTCCCAGCCACAGCCCACCTTATGAACAGCAGCTGGTGGGTGGCGGGTTCACCAGGCCGGGCCAGTTCCAGGCTCCAGGGCGCCCCCACGCCACGGGGAGCTCCGACACGCCACACAGCCAGGGACATCAGAACTGAAGAGGCCCCAAAGCCCACGTTCTCCGCATGGAGGGGCCTAGCCCTCCTCCTGGCCACTCTCACTGCTGGCACCGCCATGCCCAGCACCCAAGCGCCCCTCCGGTGAGGCCACGCCAACAGCCATCACCTCATGGCACTCCATCCTCCCCAGGGCACCATACATCACATGCCGGTCCCTGCAGCCTCTGCGCGCCCAGAAGCGGGGCACAGACTGCTCTGCTCACTGACGCACCCAAGGCCGTGATGGACCAGCGTGGCGCACATGCAGTCTCACAGGACGGACGGCAGCTGCCGGTGACCAGCGCCCAGCGCCCAGCAGACCCCTGGGCGGCTGCCATGGGGGCCAGACCCTCAGAGGCGTCCCTCGTGCCCCTCATGGCGGACACCCCCCCTTCCCCGAGCAGTGACCACCACCGCTGGTGTCCACAGCTCAGATACCTGCTCCAGCTCAGTGGGTATCAAACTGAGAATTTCTGAGGAACTTTCCTGAACACAGACCTAGCTCTATGTAGCAAGGCTCCTTGTACTGGTCACGGGAACAGATCTCAGATCAGAGGCACAGACGTGCCTCACCACTGCTCCCACAGCCTGGCTGGCACCCCCGGAGGCGCACCTCCAGCCCCCTTCACGAGCCGGGGTCCGCTGGGGGCTGAGGGAAAGAACACCCCAACACCACGTGACCACCAAGCCCCTGTACCCACCATGTTTATGCACACAAACATGCACACGTGCTCAGAGACCCACATGTACACATGTGCAAACATGCACACACCCACATACACTAAGACCCACATGTGTGCACATACAAACAAGGCTCACACGTGTGCACACGCAAACATGCAGACTCACGTGTGCGCACAGACGCAGGGGGACTTATTCGAGAAGAGGGCCTGTCCCCTGAAAACCATCTGGGAACCTCAACAGGTGCACAGAGGCTGTGTGATCAAGCACTCCGCCGCACACTCTACTCGGTCAACTTCCCCTCTCTGCTCCTCGCACACAGAACCATGTGTGGTAGCCCTGCCCCCCACCCGGGGTCTAACACCATGACATCTCCCTGAACAACACGGGGACTGCTAACAGCTACTCCCCAGGACGGTGCTCGGAGGCGCTGTCAACAGGACAGCCGCATGGCCTGTCCTTTCTACTCAAACAGCCACCACGACACCGTCCTTCTGTCCTGAAAAACCCCATGTCCTCACCCAGCAGAACCAAACCTGGAAGCCATGTTGTCCTCACTCCTTGACCACACTGTTCCAGGAAGCCCCCGCACAACCCGTCAGCAGCCACACGCCAACAGAAACGTGGCTTGAGGTCTGGGGCCATGGCCTCAGAGTGTGGCCCACTGCCCGATGGCCAGCCTGCCACACGCCCTGGCAGAGCATGGGTGACGCTGCCCGGGACCGTCCAGGCGAGTGCCTCCAGGAAGCACAGCACTCCCTGCCTCTTAGAGGGAAGAGACCCCTGGGTGCCCAGCAGGAGCTGAGCTGCAGAGCGGAACTCACCAACAAGACGAGGCGGCTGGACAGTCTCAGCCAGGGACGGGGACACAGGGCAGCCGGTCCAATCAGCCCTCCACGGGCTGAGCCCGACCTCCGCTGGGGCCCACCATCTGTGGCCATGCCTCACATGCACACCTGCCTGATCCAGGGACCACCCCCCAAGGCCCAGGAGGGGCTCCACCCGGGCCCAAGAGCCACATGGGTTCCCTGAAGTCGGTAAAAACCCCACACTTGGAACTGAGGAAAGCATCGCACTCCTCGCCACCTCCCGAGAGGTATTTCACCAACACCACCGAGACACGGAGTCCGTCCTGCCCACTCGCAATCTCCAATCACAAGAAAACACAGTAAGGGCCCTGACAAGGCACAGGACCCCCAGCAAGACAAACTGTCATTCCAGAACACACCCCCACCTCACTGGCAGAGGGTGGGGAGGGTCCAAAGCAGGATGCTGGTCCTGGCCTCCACCTCCCGTGCCAACCCTCCCTGGGCCCAGGCCTCCCCAGAGCACCACCCGGGTCAAGAGCCCTGTCCTCCTGGCTCTAAAGCACCCGCCACAGGCCTACCGGAGGGGCAGGGCCGGGAGCAACGCAGCGGGGCAGTTAAGGTCAGTGCTTGGCTTCCTCCGGCCTGCGCATTGAGGGCCCCTAGCTGGGGATGGGGGGAGACAAGACCCGGCCTCAGGAGGCATTTGACACCAGCATCTGCCTGGGGTGCGTAGAACAGCAGTCTGGGGGGGGGGGGCACACGTTCAGGCTCCTTCCAGCCCTGGGTCACATTTCACTGGCCCTCACCGAGGCAGGGCAGACCCCACGGTCCCACTGAGCTCTGCCTGGCCAGGTCGGCCTGCTGAGGAGCGCGCCACTCCTCCGGGCCTGCCAGTCACTCTCAGCACACCCTGGGCACTCAACCTACGGGGTTTCAGGCCTCCTCTTTCCAGACAGCCCAGGGCTTCCAGAAACACCCCAGGAGGGTGTCCCCAGCCTTGCTTCACCACCACCAGGAGGTCCAACCAGAAAGGCGGGAACATCCCCGGGGGACTGGCCTGAGTGCCAGCAATCCTGTGATGGGGCCAGACGTGGCCACTGCTGGGACCTCAGGGCATGCACCCTGCACCCTGACCCGCAAAGTGGGCCTTCAGGACGGGCTCCAGTCTGGCCTTCCCAGCTCGCTAAGGACCTTCCCTGACAGCCCCCTCGTCAGGCTGGTGACACGGTGCCAGTCACACGGCACCTCTGAGCACCAACGGCACTCCAGAACCTCATGTGAAACATCAAAGCCCGCCATAGCAGAATCCCCGAAAGACAACCACACAGTGACACGCAGAGGACGCTACCCCGTCTCTTTCCGAGAGAAAGGAAGAGTGTAGAGCACAAAATGTCAAAGACCCAGCTAACTTCTGTGCTGGCTCAGCTCAGACGGCAAGCGTCATTACAAGGTGAGCATGAAGCCCGTGTCTGCGTCCGCCCACACTCCAGGAGTCAGAGATCACGCGAGGCCCTAAGATTCCAGGCGAGCCCCTGGCAGGAAAGAAGGGGGATGAAGGTTAAGACCATGGGCAGCACTCAGTGAGGGCAGGCAGGGGCTCAAGACCCCGGCCTCCCACCGGCCCAGATGGGCAAGATGCCCAGCCCTCCTGGCAGCTGCAGCACCTGACTCTTGAGCCCACGGGCCCAAGACCACCGTGTGGAGCTCCTAAATGGAGGGACAAGGAAACGAGCAGGAAGAAAATTACCCCGGCTTCAAAACAAGACACACTCCAAGTCTGGAAGGAAGGACCACAGTCCGCCCAAGAAGGGGCCAGCGGACGGGGAGCAGGATATGCAGGCATGGAGGCTCCCCTGGAAACGTGATGCACTTCTGCTGGCCGCTAGGACACAGCTCACCCAAGAGGACGATGCCAGAGCGTGCTCAGAACCAAGGAGAGGCTGGGTGCACAGACCCTGCCTTCATCTGACATCTGGTCTGGTGACCTGTCCCAGGCCCCAGGACACACACAGGAAAGCCGGACAGGGGCCTCACCCCGCAGACAGGAAGGGACACCTAGGGAGGGGGTGCACCTGATGGTGGGTGCTCTCAGAAGGTGCCTGGCCTGGCCCCAGGGGTCTGGGCCACTGGGAGCAGGGAGCCTCTACCCAAACGCAGTGGAGTGAGACCCGCGGCTGTGGGCTGTTCTCGGAGAACCCCCCCAATTCTAGAGGATACCTACTGGGGGCAACCCATTCATCTGCTCCAGGGAACCCGGGGTTTGGAGCCTGGAGGACAGAGGGAGCAGTCCTGGGGGATCCCCCCAAGAGAAAGTGAAAGCGCTAGACGCCTCCCGAGTCCAGAAACAAAGAGGGTATGGAGGACCCGGGGGCAGAGCACAGCTCTGCGGGGATGGGGCGGCGCCTCCCGCAGCCCCGCTGGGGACCGGCCGACCTTCCGGCGGATGACCCCACAAAAGAGCGGGTTCGTCGGCGGTCGGGCGGCGCGCAGACCTGGGCTCTCAGCCGGGCTTATCGGACCGGAGGCCCTTTGCCCCAGCGCGCAAGAGCAAAGGCAACAGGAAGGAAGCAGGAAGGCACTCTGGCGGCCCTACCCCGACCCGCCCGGGACCTGGGGGGCCTGGATTTTCTCACGGAGGGGGAGGCCCCTCCCCGTTCCCATCGCTACCCCGGGCGTCCCACCCAGAGTGGGAGACAGAAGGTGCTTCCAGCGTCCCAGTGGGGGTGGGCCAGGCACGGAGCAGCCAAGCTGAGCCCACAGCCCCAGCCCCTGGGAGCACTGGGCGCGGCAGGAGCCCTGCGTCCCCGGGATAAGCCTGGTGAGGGGACTTTGCAGGCAAGAGGAGTGCGGGGGGGGGGGTCAAGAGGGGGTTCGTGGGAGGTGAGACGTAGTGGCGAGGGAGGAACGGCTGGGGGGACCCCGGAGGGAAGGGGTTGGGGAGAGTGGGTGGAAAGCAGGCAGCCTCGGGACGACCTCGCTGCGTCCCCCTCCTCTAGGCCCCTCCCGGGTCGCCCTCGGCCCCCTCCGGGGCCGCCCCTCCTCCCGGCCGTCCCCGGGCCCCGCGCAGCCCGGCTCCGCCTTTGTCCGGCGGGCAGGTGCGGCCGCGCTCACCCGGGCTCTGGCAGTCGGGCTCGCCCTCGGGGGGGCCCGGCGCCTCGGTCCCCTCGGCCCCCTCGGCCGCCTCGGCCGCCTCGGCCGCCGCGGCCCCCTCGGCTGCCTCGTCCTGGCCGCCGTCCGCCCTCGCCTCCACCGGCACCACAGTGAAGTTGGTGGGCATGGCGCTCCGGTCTCCGCTCCGGCCCGCGCTCTGCCTACGCGCCGCGGGACTTGGGCGCAGGGGCGGGGTCCGCGCGGTCCGCCCCCGGTCTGGCTCGCCCCGCCCCCGGCCACGTGACCTCACCTGCCGTCCCTTCGGCCTCCGGAAAAGTTTGCGCTCAGCGGGGCGGGGCGGAGCGGGACGGGGCGGGGTGCTTTCCGCAGAGGTCCCCTCCCCCAGCCTGCCCTCCGGGACCTCCCGCGCCCTCAGGCGCCCCCTCCCCCAGAGTCACCCGGCCCGCCCAGAGCAGGCCTTTGCCCGCCCTATCCTCCCCGCCACCGTGCCCCCGGCTGGCCCCTGCCCGCAGGGTCCCCCCCACACGCAGTCTGGATCCCTAGAGGACAGAGCAGTGCCCCCCACCCACCCACCAGACCAAGTTGGGATCTGGTCTCCGCTCTCCCTCCGTGCCTGGCTCAGGCGCCCCCAGCGCAGGGGTTTCCAACCGGAGGGAGCCATGCTTAGCAAGGGCACAGGGTGGGGAGCGGAGGCCGCTGTGTGGGCAGCTGTCGGGGCTGCTGTGGGGGCTCCGTCCTCAAGGGACATAACCCAGACAAGTTACCAAGGGCCTGAGACAGGCCCCGGCCCGCAGAGGACCCGAGGCGTCTCCCCTCTGCTCAAGGGAGTGAGTCCCAGCCTGTACCCTGGGGAGCCCTCCCTTTCCTTGCCTGGGCCCTGCCGGGGCAGCCAGGGAATGGAAGGAAGGGCCGGGGAGGGCGGCTGGGACCCTGGCCAGGCAGCCCCCAGGCCGCCACTGGCCTGCGTCTTCCAGCTCCTGAACAAAGGACACGTGGAAAGAACAATAAAATGTTCATCAGAGTGAAAATAAGTTCCAACATCCAAGCAGTGATGGCGACTAGGTGCAACGAGCCCTGAACAGATTGTGTTTCACAGCCAGGAAGCAGCAGCACAGGAGGGCAAGCAAGGTCACGACACTGCAACAGGATCACCAGGAGGGGCCATCACAGCTGAAACATGCGCCCGGAACAGTCCACCAGAAGGTCAGCGGTTGTCTCTGGGCCTTGGCCTTACAAAGGCCTGCATTTTCTTTGCATTTTTTCATATTAACAACAAACAACATAAAACCAAATTCAGAAAGTACATTCTCAATTAAAATCAAAAGAAGTCGGTCAGGTGTCCCCAGGCTCCTGGCCCCACCCAGCACCAGCGCCAGCTTCCCTGGGGGGCCTGGGCCCGGGGGCTGCCCTTGTGTACCTTCACACCCCAGCTTCCACAGAGAGGTACGGAATCCTGTGGCAGGGCTCAGGAGTGGCAGATGGTGGAGGTGCCTTCAGCTGCCTTCTTAGGGCAGCAGCAAGAAAGGGGGGGAGAAGGCCACCCCCCCGAGTATAGAAGGGTTTCCAGGGGTCCTTCTCAGGGAAGGGTCGGCTTTGTTGAAGTCTGGGCATTGCTCAGCAAAGCTGCAGAGTGTGGTGCTGAAGGGTAGGAGTGTGGAAACGGCTTGCCCGGCCCTAACCGAGCCTCTGCACTCACCACTGGTCACCAAAGCTATTGACCCCGGGGTGCGGGGAGCTTTCGAGCAAGACTAAGTGGTCTGTGACCAGAGCCAGGTGACCACAGGAGCTCACCAGTGGGACCCACGCCTTTACAGATGAGGAACTGAGGTCCAGAGGTGAAGGGTCATTCACAGGGGGCTGGGGGGGGGTGACTCTCTTCTCCCTTTTTCAGAGGCCATGGCTGATCCTCCAACTTTCCCGGCTCAAGAGTTCAGCTCATCCTTCCGGGCTGGGAGCCTGCTGTCCAGGAGCCACCAGGGAGGCTGTGCGAGGGATGGGGTGCTGTCTGCCCCCGGTCCAGGAGGCCAAGACCATCTCTCCCAGGAAGTCGGCGCCTTTAGGCTGGAAGAGCCTGGCCCCCACGCGGGTGCTCACCTCTGTGGGCCTGGGGCCAGTCCTGAAAATGTCAGCTCCTGCCACAGAGGGAGATGCCCCACCAGGCTACTAGACTGAGAGCCCAGCCCGCCGGGAGGGCGGGAGGGCAGGGAGAAGGGAGAGGGAGGAAATGGGGGGCAGGGAGAAAGGAGGGGAGGAAGAGGGGCGAGCAGAAGGGACCCCAGATGCTCCAGAGGCAGGGGGAAGGGAGGGAGGCCCCTTTACTTAAAACCAAAGTCACTGCTTCGGAGCAAACAGTGTGTGGGGAGCCATCTGGCAGGGGGCAAGGTGAGGGCAGCAGGGGACAGAAGTCCAGGAGGGGAGAGGTCACTTCAGGAGCCTTTCACGGCTCTGTGGCAGTTGGACTCTCCTAGCTGGCAGGGCGGGGAGAATTCTCTCTGAGGGGACCGCCCAAGATCCCACGGCTCCTGCCCTCCTGCCGTGGCTCAGAAAGGAGCTGCCGCAGTGGGGGGTGGCGGGCAGTGGACAGGCACAGGCCAGACTCGGTGTCTGCCCCTCCCCCGGCCCCGGCTCTCAGCAGGAGCCCTCGGCCCCAGGCCCCAGGCCCCAGACGCACACCCTGTGACGGCCGCGTCTGGGTGGCTTCCCGGCCGCGTCTGGGTGGCTTCCCGGCTCACAAGCCCTGCAGCCTGCCCCAGGGACACAACTCGGGCTCTGAGGAGGGCGGGGCAGGCTCTCCGCCCTGAGCACTGGACCGGTTCTGGGGTTCTGCAAACAATGCCTGATTCCTCCAAAACGTCACTGTCACCTGAGGACACGGAAGCGAGAACCTGCCGGCCTGGCCAGGGAAAGCTGCGGAGGACGTTATGGGGCAGGCTGGGTTGTGTGGCTCTCACAGTCGTCTTGCACTTTTCTGTAGGTGGGAAATCTTTCAAAATAAGATAATTTTATCGCTGTAGGAAAACCTCCTGGTTTTGAAGGGACAGATGGCCATATCGTAAAAACCCTGTCCTCTGCATGACCTCCAGTGCCCCCTGGATGGCCGCTGCCAGTCCCCAGCTCAGGACGTCCTGTGGGGGACTCTGGGGCCACCCACTCTGGGGGGCAACTCCCGCCGAGGCGGTGCTGAAGGAGGGCCTGCAGCCAGGAATCAGAAGCCGGGAAAGCCGGATCCCACCTCCAGAGCTCCTTGGAGACCTTGCTGGGCTTTATTTTTTGAGATAAGAAAGTCGCGTTAAGAGAACCTAGAAGTTAGAAAGCGTATAGGACTTCAGTGCTAGGCAGGGTTTATAACCCGTTAACACGGAGGGACGCCACTTCAGCCAAAGGCCCCCTCCCCGGGGACCCCATGGTGGCTGGCGGGGACTTTCGTACCTCCTCTCCAGGGGGCGGGCGGGGACCCTGTGCCCCTGTTCCCACCTCGCAGTCAGGACGCTGGTCACAGAACAAAGAAAGGCTTCCTTCCCACGTTAGAGCTTCAGACTCCAAAACACTGCTTTGCCCTCACGCCCTGCTCTGGTTTCACGTGTCACTTTTTTTTCAAATAAATCTTGGTGGAAATTCGAGAAGGCCCTTGCACCACAGGTGGGGTTGGAAAGCATGCTTGCCACCAACGGCTGCCGCCACCTTCTCGCCAGACCCCTCCCGGGGCCTGGACGCAGGGCACCCTCGCCGCCAGGCCAGCACCAGGCACCGGCGGGGACCCTTCTGCCTCCCTGCCCCCACACGGCACTGCCCAGACCCCTGAGGGCCATCGGCTCGGCAGTGCAACCCCCTCCAGAAACGTCTGAAGCCACGTAGCCTCCGCGTGACCTCTGCATCCGTTCCCGCCCATCTCACCACAACAAGTGTCCCAGGGCCTGCAGGGGCCAGTGCCCCGGCCTCAGCCCCTTCTGCAGGAGCTGGGGCGACAGTGCTGGTGGTGAGGAGCCCCAGAAACCGTCAGGCAACAGGGCCTTGTGCCAGGCCCTCCCTTGTACACCAGGCTCCTACACCCACACCCTCAGCCCGGGCCCGGGCCCCGTGGCTCCGGCGTGGCCAGGGCAGGCCCCACCCTGCTCCAGAGGCTGTCAAGGATCCAGGAGCGCCCAGTTCTCCTGGACTTCCTCCAGGAAGTTCCTGAGAATGGACGAGGTGGGGACAGGAGCATCCGGCTTTGGGCCTTTTGGTGCCCAAAACGCTTCAGACCCAAGCGCCTCGTTGTCCCCCCCCGGGGCCCACACGCAGGCCGTTCCCAGCCACCCATCCCTCTGAAGGCCTCGCGTGTGACTCCCAGGTTCTGGTCCACTCGGGATCTTTCTGCTGACGGGGCTGGTCGGGGTTCACCCCGCAGCCTGCCATGGAGCCCCCTGGCAGGCTCGCGGGACACGCCCCGGGGCCCCCACGCTGCGCTGGGCCTGCGTGTGAGGTGACGCCATCAGGGAGACCCCGAGCTTGCAGGAGCACAGCCTAGAGTCAGGGGCCACGAGACAGAGATTTACACTAAAAATGGTGGCTGTGGCATTCCCTCGTGGCCTCGAAGGTGCTCTTCCTGAAAGAGAAAGTGCCCAAGTGGTCTCTGCTCCTCACAGAGCTCCACGCAGAGTGGAGCAGAGGGCCCCAGGGTGTCAAGACACTTGTGAGCCACGCGGCCGGCCCGGCGTGTCCGGATTCTGAAAAGACAGCCCGCAGATCAGTAAGGAGAAGGTGGCGGCAGGACCGAGGTCGCCCGGCCGCCGGCAAGGACCCCGGCCACGGCCGCACTTCAGGCCGAGCGCGAGCGTGGAAAGCATGCAGCCACATTGGCAGACCCACACTCGCCTTGGCCAGGAGCCCCAAGCCCCCTCCCCGCAAGGAGTCACGGGCACCAAGGACATGCTCCAGGACGCTCAGAGCAGGACGTTCGTGTGGGCCACACCGGAGACGGCCCACAAGCCCATCAACACAACCGGCAGAGGGACGGCAGCGTCCATGAGAGGTGCCAACCACGCGCACGGTTGGCCAGCCCCTCACCGCGTCGGTAAAGGAGGCTGTGTGACCCTGGCCACCGGCAGCTCGGGGTGGACAGGGCCAGTCCAGGCCAGACGTCAGGACGGCAGCTCCAAGGGCGCCTGCTGGGGCCCAGAGCACAGA